TAACAACCTAGTCGAACCCAATGAAGTCGCCACAAAGATTACTTAAACTTTTGAGAATGGCTAGATTTTAAACATTCATTGGTAATCCTCCAAAATGAACCCAACCAGCATTTTTTTTAATATAGGACTTATGAGCATTACTTTTCCTAACATCTAAAGAGAGTAATCTATCTCTTACCCTTCATAGTTTGATTGAAAGAGCCCTATGAACATCCTCCACCAATTCTAAATAAAAACTAAGCTTTCCATCCCCAATCCATTTCACTAATGGAGTATATCCTAATAGCCATATATGTTTCGCTTAATCCCCCAATCCAAAAAGATCATTGGATAGAGGAGAAAATGAACCTACCACCACAATTGATGTGCAAAAAGAAGACTTACCACTCCCAAAACCACCGACAGGATGACGGTAGATTACTCCTGCATCTTCTCTCTCAAGGTAATTTTTCTTCTCTCTCTAACTTTTTGCATCCTCTCTCTATCGCCAAATCTCCTGCTTACCCATCACAACCATTTCGCTCCCAAATTCACTTTTCCTTGTATCCTACTCCAACTAGTTTGTTCTTCTCCCTCGCCTAATTTGCAGCAATTTTATCTTCTCATAGTTTTTTCACATAAATTTATTGAAAAAGAGAAAGTTGTAGACTTATTTTTTACCAGCTATGCTTTTCTCTTTGTTGATTTGCCTCTCTTCTTTTGTGATTGCTCATGTTAAAAAAGCAGCAGGAACCCTGTGAAGCGCTTTTTTCTCTTTCACACACCCATTTTTTTTGGATCCCTCTCTTGCTACATATGGCCTCTACAAAAAGATAGAGGGCTAGAGTACACGAAGGAATACACACGGCCCCAACAAGAGCCACCACCAACAAATGACGAAGAAAATCCTCCTATAACCCGTTTTAATTACCACCTTAACCATCTTCGCTCTCTACGCAAGCTTCCATGCCTTTCTCTCTCATCTCCCATCTTCTACTTCAACCTTGCCCAACCCTTCCTTCTTCCCCTCTCTCTATCCTCAATCTATGAGATTACTGAAAAACTACCATTAGGTTTTGCATGTATGATCTCCCCAAATGCTTCACCTGCAGTGTAATTGAACACTATTTTAGTATTTGAGGAACCCCAAATGTGCCATGCGAGTATTCAGGACCCCAACAACCAACACAATGTGGAGTTGTAACTTTTATTGATCTTTTAAAGAAATTTTGATCAAACTCTCCCACAATTAGGGTTTTTCTTATGTGTACCATTTATCTTCCACTTTGTCTATCTGCTAACCATCCCATATTTCGAACTATCAATTAGTTAACAGATCGATTTCTCTCTCTAGCTCCAAGCCTGTAACTAACTACTCTTGCAACATAAAATTTGCTCCGCGCTTACAAAAATATGATGGATACAAAATCATGCCTATTTCAAGGAAGCCCATGTATTTTTGCTTTCTGGAGCTTCAAATATTCATAGAGCATTAAAAAAAATCTAGTTGGCCATGGCTACCAATAAGACCTGGAAAAAGTCCAGTTCTACCATAGCGGAGAAAACCCTTTAAAAAAAGGACGTAATATTGAGATTTTTATACGTGTTCATATGTTTTTAGAGATAATGTATTCCTATGATTTTGCAAGTTGACTGTGGAAAAATGGGTGAAATTTAGAGAGAGAGTGAGAAAAAAAAAAAGAGATAGAGAAAGAGAGATACAAGAAGGTGAGCCGGTGGCTTCAAGATAGAGAATGGGAGAACAAAAAAGAGTACCAGAGCTTTCGAGTGAGAGAGGAAAAAATAACTACATAAGAGGTCTGTAGAGAAAAAACAGAGGGGTGTACCATCCTGCAAATTTTTAAAAAGGAAAATCTTGGTTAAAAAGCAGAGATAACCCAATTGCCCCCATGTTGACTTCAATCAAATATTGTACTGCTCAAATCAGACGGTGTAGAGGGCTGCAACCTTAGTTATTGTCATCGAGCTATTTTCCAAATATGTACACTTTTTAATAAATGAAATGCTTATTCAAGTCTCTGAGTAGTACATAACAAATGACATATCAATAGTCTCTTATTTTTCAGTCACTTTCTATAAGAAAGCAAAATTTAAGGATATGTCAATGATAGACTGATATACAAATGTATATATATGCATTATATATTTGTGTGCACACTAATATACAATGGAATATTAGTGTGCATATTGTATGCAATGCATTTATGTACTATATATCAATGTGCATGCTAATAGATGCTGACACATCAATGTGCACACTAATATAGAACATATATATGCAGTGTGTATTAGTGTGTACACTAATATATATTGTTATATGTGTATAAACTGTGGTCTACGAATGGCAACCAGTGGGTTGTGCTAGATAGACAACCAATGTAAAATTTTATTAAAAATTCGCATAAATCAATGTGCAAACTGATCTATGATGATATGTTAGCGTGCAAACTATAGATCCGTATTTTGGAAGAGTCAATTTTTAAAGTGTTAATGAGAATGGAGGCAATGACCTTTAACTGGGGCTTAGGTGGTACTAACACCACGACCTTAGCCCTATTCTTATTGATATACCAGTATGCATATTGTATTGGTGAATACATACACTCGAGGATTGTTTTTCGTTAAAATAAATAAGCATTTTGGTTTGCTTAAAATAAATAAGCCAAATTTCATTGATATTATATAATTCAGGGTCCATTACCATTAGTGCTTAGTTTGATTTTTGGCTCTATTAGTTCGATTTTCTTTGTTCATTTTACTTTTTCACATTTTTGTAGGTGGACGCGTTGCGAAATGTAATAGAAGAATAGTGCAAGAGTAGCGTGGACGATGCTAGAAGAAGTTCAGAGCCCATGATTCTTGATTAAATTCTTAATATATATCTCTCTTAGCCCATGCTTTTTTAGTAATCTCTCTATTCTCTCTTTGGATGAAGGGCTTGGGAGCATCATACATACCATTTTTTATTGAGAGTGCGTTAGATACTATAATTACTATTTTATATGTCATTCCGTTGAAATTTTTTGGCATTTCTTATGGTGCATTTATTAGATTGGTCACTAGTTTTATAGGCATTCGAAGTGTGTGCTTATTATGGAATTGAATTTGGATTGATTTATTTTTTGTAATCACTGAGAATATGGCATTTAGTAGAGCAAAGACGGACTAAAATTCGTGTAGCCAACCCATTAAATTTGGTTTGGTTAGGGCGAAGCACCATAAGCCTTCTGATTTTCCTCAACGACCAAAGCGAAACGAAAATCAAAACATTTCGACGCGATATAAAGCTCATCCGAAACAAACTCTTTGCATATGGTGAGTGAGCACGGAGCCCATCCAAATAGTATTTTTCTTGTCTTTTACCCCTACGTAGCCCTATCCCTCGTCATCAACAATTACCAACTTCACCCTTTTTTTTTTTGTCTTTAGTGTGGTTGTTTTCATTAAAATAATAAATTAATTTCTCATCGACCTCTTCGTCATGTGAAAGGAATACATCCTCATTTGATAAATAAATTTGTCCTCACGTGACGAAATTAATTGAATGATTTTTTTCTTTATTTTTATGCTATTTTTATTTTTTATTATTTTAAAATGTATACATTTTATTTTATACTTATTTTTTAAAATAAAAAAATATGAAGCCTTCCTCCAAATTAGCCGAAGCACCGAATTGCTTCTTTTTTTAACCAAATCGTAAAAGGTTTCGAAGCGAATCTGACGACATTGGCCAACCCCAATTAATTGAAAAAAGACTATGATGATGATAATAAATAAATTATTCTCCTAACATTCATGTAATCTAAAATCTCAATAGTTAATAAGTCAAATTAAATGAACTTCAATGTGGTGACTATCACAAAGATTGGAAGTTGTATTTATTTATTTATTTATTAGTTTTTGTTTGAAACTCATTTAATTAATTTTACATGATAGTGCCTTGAAGTGATGCCAAAGATTTTGAGTCTCTTATTAAAAATGTTGTACATGACTTATTTCTTGAAAAATATAAATAAATATTTCTCTCTTTCTCTCTCTCTCTCTAAATGGAACGGGACTTGCAATTTACAAATGTATAAGATTCGTGGGTCCGATCTGGGTAAGGTCCAGTCCAAGAACTCGTAATTTACAAAGATTCAAAATTCTCAAGCCATGTCTGGATCCTATAACTTTCTTGTAGAATCAAGTCTAAGAATGAGTCTGGATCTGATTCCTCTTTACATTGTTGGGCTGGGTCCGATCGACCCAACCCCATTCCCAGCCATACGTAGGCTCTAACACTACCTCTATGTTTAATAAAAAAAAAATTAAAATATTTTAAATTGGTTCATGGACGGTTCAAATGGTTCTCTAACAGAATCGGTCGGTTTCTCAGAGAATCAGCTTGAACCAGTCGTTAGGGCTGAGAATTTTCTAGATTGGGTCCAATTCCACCTAGATCCGGATCCATATCCCAAAAATATACATAACATCTGTATCCGATCGGATCTAGAATGTTTGGATCTAGATCTCTTGATCCGAAAACTATCCATAGAATCTAGATCCAAATCCAAGGATCCAATTAGTTCCACAATCCGATCTAGAATGGGAATTACGTCTTTAAAACTTAAAAATATTATGTGTTATCTATGTAAATTAATAAATATGTAACATATATGCACCTATAAAGATATACATTTTAATAATCGAGTCGCGTCCGGATCAAATCCACCTTTACTCGGATTTTATTTGAATCATAATTCTGTTCCAAATTCTAGATCGGATCCAAATCTTGGATCGACAATCAGATCTGAATAGGATTTAAAATTCAAGTTCCGGATCCAAACAGAGTAAATTCTTAACCCTACTACCCTTATCATGAAGGGAACCATTCAGTTTCCAATATTTTATGAGAGTTGATTCGTGCTTGATGATTTAGATCCAGATCAGACGATTCCAATCCAAACCGATATTTTTGAAACATTGATGAAAATAAATTAACAACTTTCAAGAGGGTAAAGAACAACATAAACCACATCTCTACATTTATAGTGGGAAAGGACACTATTATGCTTTAGTATGTTCTCGAAACTCCACGGTCAGAAGGGCAACACCTAAAGAGAAAGAAGTGCAATTGTATTCATCATTGATAAACTTTTTCCTTCTGTTTTTTTTTCAACAAAGCTAACTGCCTAGTAGAAAAGCAAGCACTTCTTATTAAAAGTTTGTTGAAGCATTAATAAACCCTACTTCTAAACACTACTTCATAGGACGTACATGGAATGAGTACTTTACCCAGGCCTGTAATCTACTCATTATTTATCACCCCTTGGTCTACTTCAAGCCACATCTACAAACTTATCCATGTTGGTATACTTTAAGAGACCCTGCAGCAAAAAAAAAAACAACGACTTAAATCACATAGAAATATGACGAAATTTAGTAGGCTATTTATTCCAAGAAATACAAAAAATAAAAAATAAAAAATAAAAAATAAAAAATGAAAAATAAAGGCAAAAGGCATACTATACTGTTACATCCACTAAAAGTTAAAAAAGACAGTGAAGAAAGAAATTTAAAAAATACTATTTATATTTTTTGAAAAAGAAAATTTTCAAATTTAGATAATTCGTGTGGGTGAGGTTATTGAACTCTAAAATTTTAAATTGGAAATACATCCTTGGCATATACTTTATAGGGAGACCGCATAAAAATAGTGTGAGTCGGCCAACTCAACAAACAGTACTATACTGCATTTCAGTTTGAACGAGTTTGCTTTCTAATCCACCGTCTGATGTCAACCAGAGAGTTGAGAAGTGGAAAGAATATAGCATTATATATGGAAATGTATAAAATAAGACCACCTTTCTTTAGAACAAGGTCATAATCACCCTCGCTCCTTTGATGTGAAAGTTGGTTGTTGCAGTGTGCAGATGATTGTACTTAGTATGCAAAATACGTCTTAGGTTCTATTTCTATCTACTGATATTTTTTTAAAAAGTAAATTTTTAATTTTTTTTCAAACTTTGTGACATGTCCGTTGCCCCTATTTTGCATATTATGACTAAGATTAATTTTGATCTTCTAAATACTAGAGGCAAATAGTTTAAAAGTATGGAATTCCAAATAATCTTTGCCAAATTTCTGTGCATATATTTGAGATAAGAGAAAATGATCGTCAAAATGAGAGAAAGGGAGTCAGGGAGATATGAACTGCTGTGTGTGAGTGTGAGTGTGAGTGTGGGTGTGACTGTTTGAAAGAGAGATGGAAGCTTGTTCTGTGCGGCTGTGGGTGTATATGCAGGGAAGAAAGAGAGCGCGTGAGAGAAAGAATCCAACTTATTGCAATCCACCGAAGGGTTTATTGGAATCCCGATTGTGATTTTGCAGAGGCCTGGAAGTATCTTAGCCCTCGCAGGCTTCACCCCAAAGGAAGGGCCTGAATCCTTGAAGCATTGGCACACTTGCTTTCGCGCCGCGGGTGTCTTCGTCATGCCCTCCAGCGAATGCAGACTGGTACAGCAATCTTTGCTCGGGATGTTGCCTCCCGCTCCGAGCAGGTAAGACCCGCACGGTATCATCGCCTGCACCGCACTCTCGCACGACACCCCTCCCCCCACAGCCCCTGCTATGCCCAAAACTAAAGCCACAGACAACAACCACATGCACACAACCTTCCCATTAGCCATCTTTCTCTCTCTATCTCGACCACACTAGTATGAACTTGTGGAACCAAGGGATGACTCTTATATTGGGTGGGTAGCATGGTGGATCTGGTTTTCAATCTCCATTGCCTTTAATATTGAAGAACCCCACAGGCTTAAATGAGTCTCAACCCCCTCTTAATTTGTTGTCAACCCAACCTCCCCATACATAAATTACTTTATGTGCTGGCTCCCTAGGTGCTATGTTTCATTTCCTTTGAAGTTTATCAGTGTGTAGGGCCCCAAATATGACTTCTAAGGTTTGGACCCCACCCATAACCCAAAAGAAAATTCTTTACCATAACCTCATATGCCAATTGCTACCATGTTTGAAAAAAAAACCTACGAAATCTTTTGTCGGAAAAATATATATTTTTTTTAAAAATAATAATTACCTCTTATAATTTTGGCAACAAGATTATTCACAGATGGTCTTTTTACAAATAAATAGAAATTCTAAAAATTAAATAACAAATCAATAAAATAAATCTCAACTACTTGATGTCATTCATACGACCTAATACTGTGTTTGAGAATATAAAATAAAAGAACAAACAATTAAAAGAAAAGATGCTGGAGATTACTTCAACCGGGTTTTTTACACTCCACACCGAGTCACCACATCCAATGGAGCGGGATCAGCGATCTAGCTTCAATCTTGAACCGGAAAAGCTAATTTCGGCCAAACTAGGTAACCACCATTAAATCTCTACAAAACTCTAACTCCAAAATAATTAGGCTCAAACCCTTAGATTAGATCATGAGAGAGAGAGAGAGAAAATAAGAGAGAAGAGAGAGAGGGGCATGGCCCCTAGGGAAGAGAGAGAAGGGCATGGACCCTAGGAAAGAGAGAGAGGGGCGTGGCCCCTAGAGAAGAGAGATAGAGTTTATGGGAGAGAGAGGTATGTTGAGACGGGGGAGAGCACCCCTATTTATAGTGAAATTTAGGCCTAAGGTTTCTTTAGTGTTTCCCATAGCTTGCCTCTTTCTTGAGATTGAATATGGACCGTTGATCAAGGTGACTTGTGAGGTGAGAGATCTGAGTCATCCATTCCATAGATGGGTCATTTACATTATGGAATGTGCATGAACCATTATCCCCTTTCCTTAAACTATTTTTCCATCAATATATTTAAATAAATTAAATCCATTTAAGATATAGTGCATACCATACATTGCATATTCCATCTCATATTTTCTATAAGAATATTTCAATAATATCAAGTCAAGATATTCCTTCAATAATCAAGATAAGATATGGTCAATATTTTCTAATCAAGATTTGACCACATGCTACAAGATGTAGTTACCATTTTTAACAAACTTGAAGACAAAACAAGATAAGGTATCCAAGGGTGGGGCGTGCCACCCATATATGGTATGTGGGGCCCCACCTAATACCCACATGGTGGGCCCATGTGCACTATGAGCCCCCATGTATTTTTTTTAATAAATATTTT